AAAATAATTTCATTCTTTTGAAATGACCTATTCTGTAACAGTGCACTTTCCTCCACCAAAAGTTGTAACAAGTTGAAATGTAACAGAAACAAAAACTGTCAGGTTACTGTGTTGTACAAAATTTAATTTATGCGATTTTTGGGGATAAGGCCTTTCTTTTTATTTCCACAATTTCTATTACTGCATCGACACAGAATGTTCTTTCTTCAGATTAAAAACAAATTCAAAACTCTTTAAAGGATACTGTTAAACAACATGAACAGTTGGTCCCTAAGAGGCACCCAAAATCAGATGTAGAATCTATCGAGAATGTCGCTCATGTTAAACCACAGCAAAGACCTTCCCGTCTGCATCGTAGTTTAGACACCTCACTGATTGGTTATTGTTTTGCTTTAGTTTTAAATGTTTGCTTATACGGCAACAATATCTTTCCATCAAAAAGAACTACTTGGCTATGGCCAGCATGGCGGCCCCCTCTTTTTCATGGGTGCAGGAGCGGGGCTCACAGCAGGTGCTGCTGGGCTCTGCTCCTGATGCGCTATTGTCCCCGGGCCTGGGTGTCAGCTGAGAGGGCCGTCAGCACCTGTGCGGTGTCCACTGCCTCTCCCTGTCCCGGGGTGCCTGCAGCTTCCGGGGATTGGTCCTGCTGACCTGGGACCTGCAGGCTAGTTCCCCTTGGGGCCACCCGCCAGTAGCCTATGCAGGTTACACCCCAAAGGGCTTCCGAAGTCTGGGAGACGCGGAGGAGAGCCGCACGCCCCAGCCTGCCTCGTGGCACTTTGTCCCCCGCTTGCTCTCACCCCAACGTCAGTGCACAAGGACCCCAGGTGCCCAGGTGGCTGGACAGACAGTGTCTACAGACAACATTGCAAAGCAGGAGGCGCAACAGTGGGGCCTGCCCCCTCTGCCTGATGTCCCCGTGCAGCCGGGCTTCGGCTGGTTTGGGCCACAGCTGTTTCCAGGGCTTGGCTGCGCCTGGAGGGACGGGTGTGTGCGCTGTCCTTACGCTTTAGCTTCTGTCCCTGCTTGTCACCCCATGCTGTCCACTGCCCGGGTGCCTGGTCAGCAGTGGGTTAGTGAATGAGGCCAGAGGGTCTGCGGGCATGAGTGGGGGTCCTCGGCCTCAGAAGGCACCGTAAAGCCGCTGCTGGGCGTGTGAGGTTCTCAAGCTTGTCTCGGGCTCAGCAGGTCACAGGACACCAGACCCTTCGACCTCACGGCCCAGTGACGAGGCGGGGATGTGTCAGCTGGGAGAAAACAGAGGCTGCCGCTGTTCAGGGCCCTGGAGCCGCTCAGGGGCTGCGTCGGGACTCAGCAGGGCCGTGTGTGCCCCCCGCCGGCCAGCAGGGGGTGCTGTCTGCCAAGGGAACAGTCCTCCTGGCCCTCGACAGGGAAAGGCCCAGAGCCAGTCCTGGAGGGGCTGCTCCAGCAATGTGCTCAGAGGGCGCCTTCGGGGGACGGGAATGCCAAGGCCAAGAGGCGGCCGGCTCTCAGCCACTGGACCCGCGTTCGTCATGAGCAGAGGTTTAAAGAAGACGACGACACCATCCAAACAGCAACCAACTTGACACATGTGGGTTTGGGGGGTGGCGGGGTGGTCAGCTGCCTCAGCGGCAAGCGCTTCCTCCAGGAGCCGCCTGTGAAGTGTGCTTCGTGTCTGCTTGAACGGACGTCTGCTGTGTGATGCCAGGACTCAGCTCTTCCCCCACAGGGCCAAGCGGCCGCACGCAGGGAGATATTTGGGGACTTCCTGTGCTCGTCCCTTGATGTCATCATCCCATCGACAGGCCAGTCCACTGTCAAATTTCACCGTCCCATCCATGAATTCCCAGAGATAATGAGAATGAACGCAAGGGCCGCAGACGCAGAGGCCTGAACGGAAGCCGACGGCCCCCTGGGCACCCAGCCCGGCGACAGAGCCTTTCCGTTCAGACTTCCAGGTACAGAGGGTCCGGGCGAAACCATCACCGATCCTGACAGCAGCTCAGCCACACTCCGCCCCCAGCAGAGGCACGAACCCCAACCATCTACCTTCACGACAGCAGGGACTCTGACCAGTGAGGACGGCGAGCGGTGCAAAGGCCGAGCGTGGGGCCCCCGCTGCGCAGCGTGGGGACTGCGCGCCCCGGGCCTCGTATGTGGTGGGCTGCGGCTCCGGCTAACTGCTCGCTCACTGACGCGGCTTAGGAGGCACAGATGAAGCACGCAGGAAGGGACAGACGCAGACGAACACGGCGAGGTCTGGCCGGGCAGAGCCCAGGAGCTGGGCCGAGGGGCCATTCCCGGGTGCAGACAGCAGCACGAGGCTCTGCCGGGCCGAAGTCCACTTGTCAGTCAGCGTCACCCCCACCGCTTTGCTTCTTGGCAGGAGTTATTCGGAGATGCAGGGCCCGCCCTCCTCCAGCTGGTGGCGGTGCGCCTGAGGTTCCTTGTCTCGCTAGGTGCCCTCGCCACCGTGTGACAGAAAAGCTGAGCCAGGCTACGTGGGGGACGGGTGGTCCGTGGGCTTTGCCAGGATGTCATCAATGGAGGTTGAATCATTAAGTCAGGGCGGGCATCGTATTGACAAGAACATTTGGGGACAGAGACAAGGATGCCCTAGGAGCTGTGGGAACCAGCGCCGTGTCGTTAGGTTATAAAAGGTAAAACCCACTTCTCTACATGACACCAGCTTTGTGGGGAGTCCAAGCAAACGTCACACACCCCTCGCCACTGACCCCGCTGGCGTGTCCACTCAGTGCTGCCTGCACAGAAGTCCTGTCTGTCTGTCACTAAGTGCTGTCCGTGTCGGTGACGCACGGGCCCCAGGGCGGACACACGTCCCTGCGCCTGGTGTTCATGCAGAGGACGGGGGTGTGTTGTGGGGCTCAGGGCTGCCAGCTCTGCCACCTGTGGCTGTCACCTCTGCAGGCCACTCACCTATGTGGCTCAGTCACTTCGTGTGCTAAACGGTGACAGGGGCTGCTTTGGGGTTGAGGGGACTAAAGCTCCCCTGGATTGCCCTCAAGTTCAGGGGGCCCTCAAAGGATAACCAGGCTGTTACCCAGGCGAGGGGGACGTGAGAGGGTCGGTGGCAGGTGGGCCCTGGGAAGTGGAGGCCTCAGTTCTATCCTAATTTTGTCAGCAGATCTCTCCATGATGGCGCAAACCACCCCCTCACACCTTCTTTTGGTCCTAAAAACCACAGCCGTCCTGCCGCACTTCCAGGAGACCCCGAGTTACGCTCCCGGGACAGGAGGGAACAGGTTGGGGGCTCTGGGCATCCGAGCGTGACCCGAAGCGGCCCTGAGATGCACGAGGCTGGTGCGTCCATCAAGAGTCAGCAGAGAAGAGACAGTGAGCAGGCAGGCAGGGAACTCTGGGGCGAAAGAAGGGATTTCAGGAGAAGGGAGAAAATTAAACATAAAGAAAAAGTGAGATATGAGCATGGTGAAAACAATGTTTCCCTATTTATTTGGCTGGAAGAAAAAGTTTACAAATGTGGATGACATGTAAACGCCTTTTTATGGAGGTCCCCAGGAGGACCCGCAGGCAGTGTTTACCACAGAGAGCGGGGCCACCGTGAGGTGGGCGTCTGTTCAGCCCATCGTGGCCGGCACGGGACACTAGATTGGCCTTTATTTGGAAAACAGCCTCATGGTGACTTGGAACACAAAACAGTCCTGAAGCAGCGAATGTCCAGGTCAGCGTGTCCTGGTCACGCACCCGACGACGTGCAAGGGTCCTGTCACTCTGTGTGGTCACCGTCCCATGGAACTCAGAACAAGCGTGGATCACGTCGCCTTGGCCTCTCCAGCAGCAACACACGCTTTCTACAAGACGGGGCGCCGGGTTGGCGTGGCTTTAATAAACAAAGGGCCATTTCGAGATCAAACATCTTCCCTCATCATCTGGGGAAGGAAATTCCTGAGTCGCTGGGCCGCGCGTGGTGACACGGGGCTTCCGCGTGGACGGCGGCCGCGTGCTACTCGCAGAGAAGGATTTGGGATCCACAGGCTGGGTCCTACAGGAGAGAAGGGACTTGAACACACGGACACACGGGAAATCCAGGCTGGGCCCTGGGGTCTCCGTCAGGCTGACGAGGTGCCGAGGAGGGGGGTGCGGGGGGGGGTTCTCGGCTCCGGGCTGGGGGGCTGGTGCCAGCACTGACTCGTCTGCAGTGACCCTCCCCGGACAGGACTGTCTCAGCTCTGAGCAGCCCTTCTGCTTCTGACGCACCCCCACCCCCCCGGGGGGTACAGAGCGACTTTCTACTATAGCAGCTCCTGGGGCCTTGCATAGAAGGTCGAGATGGTACGAAGTAAGTTTACACTGATTTTCTCTCACACTGATTATAACGATTTCATTTTGAAAGAAGCACGTTTTAAAAGCCAGCATTTTCTTTCTGCCTCTGGTTCATTTCCTTTCGGCCTTCAGCCAGCACTGGAGACGGCGTGGACGCCAGCGCCCCAGCTGGGACAGCGTCGTGCCGACGGAAGGCGGGTCCGTTCCACGCACGGCGGCTCACTCATCCTGATCTGTCTACGCTTTCTTAAAAGTAGGTTCAGGTTTTCACAATTATCCTTCTTGTATAAATACAGTTTGTATAAGAAAACACACAGCAGGGCATGGGGACCGTGCCCCGAGCAGAAATAGAGAAGGACCCGTGTGTGTTTGCACCAACAACGAGGACACTTGTGACGGCTCCCTGGGCCTCACAGAAACACCGGGCACTGCAGACCAAGCAGACGAGGTGCCACCTACCTGTTCGGCGCCCGGAGCGGGCTCAGCACACTGCCTGCGTCCTGACGGGCAGGCGGCTGTCCCGTCTCCCTCTGTGATTGGCAGCGAGGACTGAGAGGCACAGTGTGTCCTGCAGATAAGCACACGCCGAGTTGACACTGTCACTACGTGCCCTCCAAACCGTCATCACTGTCAGATGACGACACTGCCCGGCGGTGGCCGGGGAGGCGGGTTAACAGCTAGGACCCCATCACCGCCCGTGAACGCGCTCACCCACGGCCACACTCTGCCCCGTCCCGGTGGCACTAGACTCTAATGAGGTGTCCGTGCGGCTCTGTCACACTGTCACAAATCCAGTGTCCCTGACTGGCTGCCCATGGACGGCCGATGCCTACGGTGAGCGAGCAACCGTCCCACGTTACTGTTTAAAGTGCAACGTGAGAACCCAGAGGCCTCGACTTGGTACAAAGCAGCCTGGCAGACGTGCAGGGAGTGGGGCGGCGGGGGCAATGCATTCCGGCCTCAGAACACCAGCAACGCCATCGCCAGCCCGGCTCCCGCAGGGGAGGCAGGCTCGTGCCCGCGGAAGAGGGGGACTTACCACCTGCAAATCACCGTCCAGGTGAGGCCCGCCAGGCCGCCGACCAGCAGGGCGCCCAGCGCGATGGACGCCACGGACGCCTTTGGGAGCCTCCCGGAGTCTGGAGTGGGGATGAGCCAGTTAGAGGGCTGGCTGGGCCAAGGGCGGCGTGCAGGCCCGACCCCAATCCTGGCCCGGGTGGCCTCATGTGACGGCACGACGCACTGAGGGGCCCAGTCCGCCTGGAAGCAGCGTTCACACAGACAAGGTCCCCCAAATGTGAGGGTAGGGGACAGCTTGCAGAGCAGACGAGGCCCTTGGCTTTTTCCAGGTGACGGTGCTCTCCGTGCAAACACTCTCCCTCCCAACAAGGAGGGTGCTGTGAGCGTCACTGCAGAGGTCCTGGGGGCGGGGGTAGAAAGTGGGTGCAGCGGGGCTGTGACAACGGGCAGATGGGAGGGGGAGCACAGTGTGATGGGTGAATTCACGCCCTTGGTGCCTCTGCGTCCCCAGGAGGAGGTCCCACCACTCAGGGAAGTGCTGTCTCTGCCCGTGGGCAGCCGTGGGGACAGACGGCAGCAGATCCCCCACCGTGGGCGCGAGTGCTTGTTCTAGAAAGAAACTGAGCGGGACTGGCAGGAGTCGGGGCACACAGGCCTCGCTTGGGGGGCGTGAGGCAGAGGCTGCCGGGGGGGCTGGGTCCCGGGACCCTCCGCTTCTGGTGACCGGACCTCAGGAAGTGCTTCTCCCCACCGGGCCACCCTAAAAACACGGGGACAGACTCGGTGGCGCCTCCCCCTCCATCAGGTCCTAGGTCTCCACTGCCCACGTGAGGCGAGGCCGTCGGGGGCCAGCGGGCTTCGGACACACGGCCCCTCTGGTCACGGCTCCTTGCTGGCTTTCTGTGCAGGCGCCGGGCCCCCATGCAGCTAACTGGGGGCTCGCCGCGTCCTGGCTGGCCGTTCCGTTCAAGGGCAGAGGCAAGTCCCACTCACCCTGCGGCCCAGGGCTCGTGCACGCTCATGACAGATGCTTGACGAACACTTTTAGATCGAATGGACGATGCTTGGGGACATTTAGCACAGCAGGTGGTGAGGGACCCCCTCCCTGACCTCACTTTGGTCAGGCTGCTCCGAGGCCCCCTGCTCGGCCAGGTCTGGACCCCCACCCCCACCCTGTCTAGCCCAGTTCCTCCAGCACTTTCCCTCCACAGGCGCCCTCACTCTGCCCGCTGTCCGTGACCACCAGCGGCCTTTGCGGCACGAAACTCCTGCAGAATGTGATACAGTCTGTCCTGCCCTGTTGACAAGTATCTGCGTGTGGCTTTTCTTTCAGAAGAGCTAGAAACCAAGTTACGAACCCTAGACCTGTGACTGAGTGGCACTGTGACCCCCAGCAAGTCACTTAACTCTGCTGTTCTGTCCCTAGGGGGACATCATGCTGAGCTCACGGAGGTAATTCACGGGGGATGGCAGTGCGGATGGTTTGGATGGCGCCTAGCACTGTTTCCACAACGTCTTGGTGTAAATACGGACCGATGCCTCCTGCTCCCAGCCCGCACCGAGCACGCAGCAGAGTGGACACACTCGTCACCAGCTACAGCCAGAAGGACCCGCCGTCGTCCCTAAGGGTGCCCTGTGCCCCTCCTAGGCCAGGCACATGAGGCGCGTGGTCTCACCTACACATGTCCTTCCGTCTTCTGCTAACACGTAGGGGTCCGAGCACTCGCACTGGAAGCCACCCTTGGTGTTCCTGCAGCGAGCGGACGAGTGGCAGGGAGGGTCTGTCACGTCCGCACACTCATTGATGTCTGCACAAAACACAGAGGCCGGGCCCTCTGAGCAGCAGGCAGCGTCCCCACCCTCCACCTCGGTGAGCTCCTGCTTGGGGGAGCCCTCCCCACAGAGGCCAAGGCTGTGCCCCCAAGGCTGCGTCCCCAAGGCTGCATCCCTAGCCAGGAAGAAGGGGACGTCACCCTCCGTGGTCCATGGTCAGGGTGGCGCCTGTCAGCTCCCTCTGGCCCCTCCGACCCCCCACCCCCAGCAGCATCTTCGGGCACTGATGCTGACCCGCCTGAGCCGCCTGCACGGGCTTGACGGGCAGCAGCCTGGCGCCCGGCCTCCCTGGGGAGCTGGTGCTTTGCTCACTGGTCAGACTGCACGGCGTGCAGGACACGGGATGGTGGAGGGTGTCAGCTCATCACAAGTGGACAACCGAGGGGGGCCTGGGCCCTATGCTCCCCCCTCCCCTGTCCCCAAACACTGCCATCAGCCAGGCGTCCGCGACGCAGCACCCACCCTGCAGAGTGCAAAGGGGACCTGTGCTGCCTTCAGAGCCTCCTGCCTAAAACCTACGGCCGTCACCGCACTCCCGAGGTTCCCGTTCCCAATTGACGCGCCGGCTGCCTCCTCTCAGACAGCGATCCTTTCTGGCCAATTCCAGGAAACCGGGAGAGCGTTGGAGGAGAAGTACGTTGCATTACTAATGCACGTTGTATAAACACCATTAAATGTCACATGCATGTTCTTGGGGGTCCTCTGTCCAGAGGGACTAGAAGGAACTCATGTCAGCTTTACGGCCAGCCAGGCCAGGCTCTGCGCCTCACTCTAGTCTGGGACCCTGGTGCCACCAACACACCCGACAGAAGGCGGAAACGGAGACAGGTCGAGGGCCACCCAGGTGGAAAAGCTGGATTCGTGAGCACCAGCCAGGACTGGCCCGACTCCGGCCACGGGTTCCGCTCACCTCCCAGCACATGAACGGGAGTGTCTGAGCTGGCGCTGTGCTTGCGGTGACTGCACATGAGTGAGGGACATGGGCCTCAACCTGCTGGCCACGGGAAGTGACGTGAGGGGGGCCGGGGTCTCGTCCTGACGCAGGGCCGCAAGTGGGGTGCTTGCCGGCCGCCCCCCAGCCTGACCTACAAACGGGACGAAGCGTGTTTCTTTCTCTTTCCTGGTCCCCGTCACCCTGTTGAGCACGTCTGATGTGACGGTCTTGATGCTTCACTACCCAGCGAGGTGTCAGCTTGGGAACATGGCCAGCTAAGGGGACAGCACTTGAACTCCACGCCAAGACAGCCCTGGGAAGGCAGCTGTGCTCAGAGGCACCTTTTCGTGAATGAGTGACAGCTGTTCCTAATTCCTATCTAGAAACTGCAGGTTTGGCAGTAAAGCCATGAAAAGACACAGCTAAAGGACTGACCTTTACAGACAGGGGGCTGGGAATCCCATCCTTGGTGGGTGCAAGCGATTTGCTCTCGTCCTTGAAGCTCGAACCCGTGACGGCAGGCGTACACCACCACGCGTCTGCCAGACTCATTGCAGAGCACGAAGTCCCCGTTGTCCACTCTCCCCGGGAAGCCACACGTGTCATCTGTGCAGGGTTCAAAGATAGTGCTGTAAACACACTGTCGCTGTCATCCACCTCCTCTTAGGACTGTCCCCACCTCTCTGGGCCTCACAAGGACTCCACGTTTGCCCATGTCGCTCTCCCACACACAGACAAAGCAGTTCCGCTCCCAGTAGTGACCGTCCAGCCACCATCTAGCCGCTGGCCTATGGAAGTCCCTTCTCGCTCACTGTCCCCTGTTCACCTTTGAACTCTCTGATCAGGCCCTATTCTCCACTCCAGCACTGCTTGTTTCAAGGCTGACAATAGTCCCTCGGTGCCAAAGGCCATGAGCAGTTTCCAGGCGCCTGTCACCGGGCCATCGCCATTGGCAGCCCCTAACGCAGCCGGTCACACCCTCTGTGAAGCCGCCTGCAGCCGGTGTCCCCAGGAGCTCCTGTCAGCATCGCGCCCTCCCTGCCTTCCGAGTGGGTCCCTGACTCAGGGCTTGTCCCTTCCAGAAGCACTCACCCTGGTTTGTGTCATCGGTTGTCAGCATTAAATACGACCTCTGCAGGTGGGCTTACAGAGGAGCCCCACCTCTGTACCCTCTCCCTGGATTTCCACTCTTCCTAGCCGGCCACCTTCCACTCACCTCTGCTCGCACGTCCAGCGCGCAGCCCGCCTGACGTGTCCACAGCTGGTGCCTGCGTTCTGGCCACACCACACGAGCCCGCCTTCCCCAGGGAGGAGGGGGCTGATTGGACCCTGTTGGCTCCCCAAGGCCCCTCCTTCAGTCGGGCCGCCATCAGCCTCCCAGGAAGCCCCGTGGCTCTGTCCTTGGACCCCCTGGCATCTCCTGCCGCCGCCACCTGGGGCCAGGCCACCTTCCTCTCTTCCAGGGACTGTCACAGCGGCTTCTGCTGGTTCTTCCCGTGTCTGCACTGCCTCCACTCACATACATTCCCAGCAAGTAGCCAGGGGTCCCCATCAAGGACGTGCATCCCCCACAGAAAACCTGCCACACCGTCTCACTCAGAATAACAGACGAGCCTCACAGGGGCTGAAGCCCCTGTCACTCCCCCGGTCTCGTCACCTCACCTCCTCGCTTACCCCTCAGACTGGCCTCCTGGGACCCCAGGACTCCGGGCACGACCTGGCCTCACGAGGTGGTGGGAAACCACAGCCTCTCGTGGAGCCTTCGCTCGCGAGGCCCTCAGCCCTTCACCCCGTGGCCCTGCCCGTGGACGTGAGGACACGAGTAGCTCGTCACACCACTGTTAATACGTCGTCTAACTTCCCTACCCAGAGCGTCAGTGCTGTGAAGGCAGAGATGCGGTGTGCGTGCGTGTGTACGAGTGTGCATGTGTACATGTGTGTGCGCATGTGTGTTCATCCGTGCGTGCATGTGTGCATATGTGTTCATGTGTGTTCATCAGTGCGTGCATGTGTACATGTGTGTGCATGTGTGTGATCATGTGTGTTCATTCCTACAAATGTGTCCCCGCACCTGGAAAAGTGCCTGTCACGTAGGAGGTAGCATACAGCAGCCCCAGTTCCTGCCTGGAGCCAGGGCACACGGCACAGAGCTGGCATCATCCGTAACAGCAGGACGGGACGCCACGCGTAGCCGAGATTCGAGAGAGGGAATTTGATGTGCGTGACAGGACGTGTAGCACAAAAACGGGAGCTGAAGCCCCGCTGTTAGGTCTTGGCTCTGTCGTTTATTAGAAGAGAATTTGGTGGGCGTAACATTAAAACGGAAGCCTCTGCGTTCCTAAACCGAGTCCTAAATAAGCTTCCGGTGCCTGGTAAGTCTCATCCTCCCAGAACCTTCTTTTCTGTCACCGAGTGTCGGCTGCCTGATTTGGACCCCGACCTGCTGCTTCTCAGCCAGAGTGGACTCTGCCCGCCCACTCCTCAGCAGCTGTCTTGTATTTGTCTTTGGTTGTCACAACTCAGTGGCACCACCGGGACCTAGCTGGTGCACCACATCCTACAGAGCACAGGACGGACCCCGAAACACAGAGTGAGCCCCGAGATGTCACTGGTGTGGGGCTGGGAGCTTGATCTACGCGTTCACTCAGCTCGTGACACACAGGACGATGTTCTCTCCTAGGGGTTATCCAGGCTGGGGACTGTTCCTCCCTCACCAGGGAGGACGCAACCTGAAGTTGCAAGCTTCGCTCTCCCATTATTTTCTTCAAATGAGCTAATTTGAAACTGCTTCTTTGAGGGGTTACGCTGTGGGAGCTACGTAGCTAAAGCGGGGTGACAATTACCTTGGGGAGTGGCCTCCCTCCACGCCTCCAGGTTCAGGCCCGGGATATCCTCACACAGCTCGAAGTCCTGGGGGAATCTGCCAACTCGGAAGGCGTCGGCGGGCACGCGGGGGAGGCCGGTGTTGTCACAGATGACCCGGGACAGGGAGTGCCTCTGCAGCTCACGCCTCTGTGCCTCAGTAAACACGTGGCCGTTTTCCCACCAGAACCTCCGCAGAAGGAGAGAGCAGCAGGTGGTGACGAACATGTCCCTTTCCGAGTCAGTGCCTTCCCTTGTCCCAGAACACTTCAAGCCATGGGAGTTGGTAAAGGTAGAGCTTGAGTGAGACAATTTGTAGCGATTTCTCCCCAGGCTTTCTTAACTATCTGAAATGCTGCACCTGGGCCATTAATGACGTGTTGTATGGGGGCGACTCAGGACACGGCTGATGAGCTCTCTGATTAGAAAGACCGTGAATGTTCCTGAAGAGGAATTGGCCTCGGCCACAGCAAGCACAACACAGAGCTGGATGTACGGAGACCATTAAAATGGAAAGAAAGCATTTCCCGTTGTTGTATCCTCCACATCCCCGCTTCGTCGTGAGCTGCAGCATGTGGACACTGGAGCTGGACGCAGGGACAAGGACCTGGAGCACTTAGCTTGGGCTGGAGGCAGAGAGCAGCGTGTGTCCAGGTGGAACCCTCTGTGTCCCCACCCCTCGGCCAGCCTGACCCTCCCCGCTTCTGTGATGTGGCCAGAGAACATGTGGAGACACATGAGGATGTGTGAGAACATGTGAGGACACGTGAGGACACGTGAGGACAGCTGGAATGTCAGGGCCGTCTGGGTAGTTTCTTATCCACATGCTGCCTACTTAATCGTGTGACCATGTGATAAGGAGATGCCAACAAGGGTTCACACATTAAAATGCTCAGAAACACGCGCCTGTGTTACATGTATGCATCTCATTCTTACAACGCCCAGCAGCAGAGTGGGGCTAAACAACCTGCCTCAGGCCACATGACTTCAAATGAGCCGTGTGGACCGCCGCCGGCCGTGTGGACGCGGATGGGACTGGCCAGACACCTACCGGTCCCCGTCCCTCAAGGCCTTCATCTGTCTCCCAATGAGGCAGGCGAACAGGGGTCCCGTGCGAGCCCCCGGGAGGAAGTCCTCCACCAAGCCGCCCAGCCAGACGTCGATGTTGTCGGGGTGCTTGTACAAGTCCAGGAGCCTGTCAGCAACGCTCCCGCTGGCCACGGCGCTGCCCAGGTCGGCCCGGGTCTGCAGTCTGGGAAGGCCGCAGAACCCTCTCCACTCATTGTAGCCTGCGTGGGGCACAGAGCATGCTCGCCTGTCTGCCTCGCCTCTGCCGTGGCCACCGAGCACTGTGGCTGCAGCAGTGGGTCTTGCCCATAAACGCCCGCAACACAGAAAACCACGTCACCACCCCTGTCCTGCAGAGACGAACGTGCTGGAACATTCCAGACTTGCACGTCTCATCAAGAGCCTGTCCATAAACAAGCTGGGAGGCAGCAGCAGTGTGGCCCCCAACCCCCTACCTGGCTCGTGTCACCCGCCTGCCCTCGGCTGTCTCCACCAATCAGCTGCTACAAGCCTCACCTGCCCCGCTGGGTTCACCACGCTCCACAGTACTGTGAGGGTGACACGCACATGCATGTGCGCACACACACATGCACATACACATATGCACACACACACACAACACAGATGCACACATGCACATGCATACATATGCACAACAGATACACACGCACGCACGAATACCCAACATAGATACACACATTCATGCACACACACATGCACACACATGTATGTACACACAACACAGACACACAAGCACACAGATACACACATACACACATAACACAGATGCACACACATACACATACATATACATATACACACATCACACACACCAGACGTCGTGGCTATCTTGTCTGGCCAGCCTTCCACTGTCTCCTGTGTCGCAGCCCCTGGTCCCCGCTGCGCCGTGTGGCGCAGACACTGTGGTCTGCCTGGGACACAGCTCCCTGCGGACACTCTCCCTAGCACCCCGGCTGCTTGCTCACGGGGGGCCTCAGGCCTTCCGGTCGCTTCTGTCGCCTGGAAAAGCTGAGTGGGCTGCTCAGAGGAACAAACTAGAGAGCGTCACAAGCCTGTTTCTCACACGTTTGTAATTACAGCTCTATGGAAACGTCCTACTGCAGCCCAGGATGCCGGCTGGCGTGCCCACGTGGGCAGGAGGCTGACCTGGCAGGCCGTGGTCCCGGCCCCTCTGCAGGTTCAGCGATGCCAGGTCGAAGGTCCCTGAGCTGGACAACACGAAGAGCCTCTCGGTCAGCTCCTCATTCATCAGCTGGTCCTGCACCTGCAGCTTGGCCGGCCGTGCGAGCAGGCCCCTCACGAGTGGGTCCAAACCACCTGGAAGACACCCCGAGAAGGTGGTGGCTTCCGCTCTGTTCTGGAGACACGGAGGTGCCCAGACCTAAACTAGGCTTGTTTGGAACAAGTCGCTTTTCCTAAGTTCACCTCATGTGACTCCAAAGATTTTGATATTCTTGAGGCGCTGCCTGTCGGGGGCAGGCTCCTGTCTGGACCCCAAGGGGACTGGCCGTGTGTGTGGGGGTCGGGCCTGAGGGGACACGGAGATGGGGCCCTCGTGTGCTTGCTTGTTTCTGCAGCACAAATGTTACTGTCAGAGGCAGCACCTGCTGAATCTTACATCTGAAACAGTGAGAGGTGGCGTTGGCTAAGGAACAGCGAGGGTGCCCGGGGACCCCATGCCCTTCACCTCCAAAGCGCCAGTCACCCATGGGCCTCTTGGCAGGGCGATTCCCCCTGAGCTCCCTTCCACCTGTCACATGGAGCCCAGAAGTTGCGGCGTGCTTTGGTGGCCATCAAATGCTGGGGTTCCTGCTCAGCCCTGGACTCTCTCCCACGAGGTCTGCGTGAAAGCTTACATGGGGGCAAAGGCACATGTGGTGACTTCGTCCCCCTCTCCCTGCACCCCCACACCTGCTTGGAGCCAGCCACCCTTTGAGGAAGGCTAGAAGCTTCCAGCAGACACGCAGAGAGCACTGGGAAAAAAGAGCAAGACAGGAGCGAACTGTAATGGGTTTTCCAAACGATTCACCTCCAAATGCAACCCAGCTGCTCTGTTCCACCTCAGCCTATGCCGAGCTCTGCCGTGGAGCAGACAAAACGTTCATGGCAAAACCAATGGTCTTATTTACAATGTGCAGCATAAATGGAGGTTCCACTCAGCGGTTTGAGATAACAGGTGGGAGGTAAGCCACAGCCGGGCAGGAGTGACGTGGACGGGGATGGGAGAGGGGTAAGGAGTGGCCTGGGTCTGCAGGGGCCTGGCCTGAGAAGAGGCTCAGCCCTTGCACGGTGGCCAGGACTGCGGGCAGCTGACTGGCAGGGGCCTGAGGCAGCAGGATGGTGTGAGAGGGTTCACGGAATCGAGTGAATTCTGAAGAGCTTCGAAGACCTGACGAGCAGCTTAGCCTTTTCAAAGCTCTGTGTACATTTATTTTCTCCATAAACATGGTAACGGGCTGGTACCCGGCCAAGTGTCAACGTAAAGGGCAAAGGCACCCCCGGCTGGTCCCCGGGCTGCTCTGCGGAGCCTGAGGGGTGCCGTGTGGCCTGGGACGCACCTTCCTTGAGAAGCCTCCAGGGGCTGAAGAACGCGTCCTGCAGCGGCAGCTGGGGCAGGCCGGGGTGCTCCTGGAAGTGGGCGTCCAGCCGCCTCACCAGTGGGTGGACCGTGGCATGGCCGAAGCGGAAGGCGGCCGTGGAGAAAACGTTGGACACGGTGGGGTCCACGGTGGGGTTGTAGCCCTGGTAGGGACCCACATGCTGTCCGAAGGCCTTGGGGCCCAGGATTCTGGGGACGTAATCCCGCAGTGTGATAATCTACGAGAAAGGAGAGCCCACCAGCCCCTGAGCAGGGAGCGAAGGCAACACAGCCAGTGCCCGGCCCAGGCTCGGGGAGGGCCCCCCGCACTTCCTTGGGTCCCAAGTTGTCCCGGGATGGGGGGCATGCCTGCAGGTAAGGGGAGGTGAGCAGGTGAACAGCTGTAGCAACGCCAACAGTGCCAGGCTGGCTGACAGCTCTGCATCGACGGGTTGGGCGGGGCCCGCAGGGACGTCCCCAAACGCCCTGCAAGGCAGGCCAGGGGCAGGCGGCACAGTGGGACAGCACTGGGGACAGACGCATAATGCAATACACAGGATGTGCGATGGAGTCGAACACCTGAAACCTGTACATGTTTATGAAAATGTCACCACAATACATTTAATAAAAACATAAATAGAAACATGAAAAAGTTTCCGTCCAAACCGCCTGCTCCCTGCACACCCCTTCCCTGTGGCCACGGCATCGGCCCCAGGACTGACAGAAACCTGGGGCTGCAAGGACTCGGTTCCCGGCTCCCGGCTCCCGGCTCCGACCATGAGCGTGAGTCCCCGCGCCCAGCTGTGTGACGCCGAGGGCCGGGCAGACCTCCTGGTGAGTCCTTACCTGGAGAAGCCTCTCTTGGGGAGTTTTTGTGATAACAAGGACACATGGTTTTCGACGTTAGACATGTCAGTAGCATCACACACGCATGTAACTTCATGCAGCACATGATGTAGGTCAGACAACTCCGGCCCCCAGTGTAAAGGACATGAAACACCCGTCAAAGCTCACACGCGGTCTGGGAGCCGCTCGTCAATTAACCCTCACGCAGGAACTAAGATCCTGGGTGACTCCTCAGCTGTCTCCACAGCCACTGGTTAGTGCCCTGGAAGAGCCGCAGACACGCGGCAACACAGGGGCCACCAGGGGTGTCACCAGGGCTGAATGTGTGCTGTGGGTTTCACAGATGAGCCTGAACTCCCACTTCCCGTGCCACCTGTGGGGACGCATCGCCGTCTGAAACAAGAGGGCTGACAGCTCCTTCCATGATCGGACGATGGGACGCGGAAAGGGGACGGTCACTCACTTGACCAGGTCTCGTTAACGCGGTGCCTGCTCACTTTGCGGTCAAGGCCTCACTGAGCTTGTGTGCGTGGATACCCAGGAGTTCCGCTCACAAGCCTGACCTCAGAGTGCCGTCCCCAGGCGTTGGTGGGGCTGGTGGTGGCCGGGTGGCTCCTGGCAGTTCGGTGGCACAAACGTGGCACCACGCCCCGTGGAACAGACCGATTGCCGGTGGGTAACCTACGGTGACAGCAGCTTCCTCTCCCATGAAAATCTATCACCTGTTCCTTGAGCTCTTTGGGGATTGAGTCAAAGGCCAACAGAGCTGAGCGTCCTGTCGGTGGTGAGCCCTCACGCAGCCACCGGCCTCGTCACTGCGACCCACGTCCTGGTCTCGGGAGAACTGTGTACAGGGGCCTTCTTTCAGGTGCAACAGTATTTCAGTATCAAATTGTTTTGATATTTGAAGAGACTATTTGGCCAATAAGCTTCATGCAACGAGGTACAAACCAGTAGGAATGTTTCTACCCTAGACTCAGCCAATCAGCCTAGGAAGGCGAGCTGTTACCGTTCTCAGATTGTGTAAAAAGCAACAAACGACAACGGCATCCCTGCACTGTGCACCTCCGAATGACAAAATGTGTTTCCTCAATGTGTGACCTGTGCTTCGCAGGAGTGGAGGTGGCAGCACGCCCTGGAGCGTGGCTGCTGTCCCAGCAAGCAGAGGACGAGGGACAAGGCCCAGAAGACATGGGTGACAGGCCCTGTCCGGAGCCGGAAGCACCGTGTTCTTGATCAGCATTCGGTGCTTATGGTGTCACCTGCAGTACAGCCACCTCTGTCTGGGACTTCTCCGGCACAGTCGAGGGAGAGTGGCCCTTCCCGCAGCTCACGGGCGGCAGCTTCCTGCCGAGAACGGCCTTCTTCGGTGTCTTCTCCCCACAGGCCGGCAGCACGCGGGCGCTGGGATCGTGAGCACAGCTGGACGGGCCATCATGCGCCTCCCAGGCCCAGCGCACACCAAGTCCCCTTAGCGAGCGCGGTCCGCGTGCCTGTGGTCCCCACCCACCTTTCCGTTCGCCTCGCCCGACCCTCCTCTTGTCCACTGCTCGGACTCTCAGGATCTGACCTGAGGTGCCGCTGTGACGGTGCTGAAATGCCTGTGACTGTCCCCACGGCAGGCCAGCACCGCCCTGGCCGGTGGCCTTACACATGTGAATCACGCCAGCCCCCCTCGGAACGCCCATGGCGACTCTTCTGGAAGCCCTCTGGTGTGTCCGCATTCAGCCACGCGAGGCCAGGGCACCAGCCCCCCCCCCCCCCCGTCTCCTGAGGGCGGACGGCTGCCTCCTTTCTTCTCCCCAGCACCCCGTTGGGGCTCCACGTCCAAAGGGCGCTGCTCCCTCTGGCCCATCTCCCCCACCTCCTGGCTCCTCCAGCTCCCGCAGACACTGCCGGGCGTGGGCGTCTGGACCCCTGTGCCCTGCGTGGCCTGAGCACTGGGAGGATGGCCCAGCAGTGGGCACTGCCCGGGCAGCCGGGGACAAGGACCTGCAGCCGCCACCACGCAAACCAGTCCTGGAAGCACTAACTCGGCCACACAAGCCCCGTCCTCTGTGCTCGTCTGGACGGACTGGATTCCACTGGGCTCGGAGGTCAGATGATGTCTGACGAGCTCCTTGACTTTTACTCACAACCGTGACAAGGCACCAGGTCGTGACATACTCTGTCATCCACATTTGCTTAAATTCCCCCTCACAGGTTCCAACATGGTTGTGCTCCTTGCGTTTATTTGACGCATTCTGTCCGTCCCCATCTCTCGAGGGAGGTTGTAACTCAATGAGGGCGCTAGCTCAGCATTAAAGCGAGTCCAGTCGGTGTGTGTGTCAAGTCGCCATGTTCTACTCCAACTCCTGCACCACTCACACTCACACTCACACAGACACTCACACTCACACAGACACTCACACTCACACACACTCACACTCACACCCCACTGGCCACAGAAAACTTCTGAGATGCCCTAAATTAAATTAAATGACAGCAGGTCAGAGTGTGGGAAGAAAAGACAAGGAGTTACTGACATTATTCATAACTGGCCCACTTGACACTTCACCCACGGTCCTCTGATGCCACATTAAAAAATCATCATAAATGAAGAAAGAATTAAAACAGACTCTTATTTTCACTTGCTAATCGGCAAATGTCGCACAGACTGTTTCCCTTTTCACTTTCTCCGTTGTATATTTCTCCAAAATATAAAAAGATCAAAATCATTGGTGGACACGCATCTGAAAGGGTTGCCTGGCAAGGACTAAATGAGTTAAGGGAACCCCTAAGGCGCTTGGACCGGTCTGGGCACCAGGACAGCGGGGGTGAGCGGAGCCCCTCCCGCCGCTGCGCGGCTGTGGCTGCGTAGGTCTCCTGGTCGGGTGGCCGCCACCGGCCCCAGGCGGGACGAGCGGGACAAGGAGGCTTCGCCGCGCCCCCCGCGCGTGAAGCACCGCGCCCGTGACGGCTCTGCGGGCACCCGCTCGGGCGCCCCCGGGTCCCTGCGCCCACGAGGGCCCCGCGCCGCGGGGGCTGCGCTCACCTGGTGCAGGGCGCCCACGACCTTGCGCGCCTCCTGGTACGCGGCGTCGGCGCTCCAGTGCGGGTTGAGCGCCTTGAGCGCGGAGGCCAGGCGGTTGTGCTCGCGCAGCCACAGCGTGTGCAGCGCGGCGAGGGCGGGGACCTCGCTGGCGCGCCCGTCCCCGGCCAGGAAGCAGGGCCCGCGGCCCCGGGCGCCGGGCTCGGGCGCGCAGGCGGCCGGCGCCCGCGGAGGCGTGAAGGGCAGGTGGGCGCGGCCGGCGTCCCGGTGCCGCGCGTTGACGCGGAGCAGCCCCTCCGCGCTGCTCCAGTTGCGCAGCTGCGTCTCCAGGGCCGCGGAGCTGCCGTACACGGTGGACGCGTCCAGGAAGGAGCTCAAGCCGTTCATCTGCTGCCGCGGGCTGGCCGCGGACAGGTTGCCGAGGAAGGCGCCCTGGGCCCCGGTGCCGCAGGCCGCCGCCGAGCGGTAGAAGGGCAGACAGGCGGTGCCCGCGGCCAGCGACGCGTTGGCGGGGAGCTGCCGGGACGGGAAGCTCGGGTCACCTCCGCTTCTCCGCACCCCCTCAAGGGCCCCCGGGCCACGACCCTGTGTCCCCGCGACTCTCCCCGCCGCCCAGGGCCAGGGTGCGGAGGCGCGGGCGGAGCTGTTTGCTGTGACTGGAGACGCGGTGACGCTGCCCGTGTCCTGCTCCCCCATTTCTACTTTTGGTGTATTTTCAGCGCCTCGCCCGTCGAGGCCTCCGCTGGGCCCCGAGCGTCGGAGCGGCCGCCTGTCTCACCGGCCGGCCCACCGCAAAGCCCTTCCCCGCGGGGCCGCCCCGCGCGCCCAGCTCAGCGGCCAGAGCCGCTGCACACGCAGGCCTGGGGCACGAGTGTCAGTGAGGACACCAGCCCCAGTCTTCGCTCTTAGGTAGAAAACGTCCCTTGTCAGCTTCAAAGACGTTTTCTGAAGCGAAGACAGGAAAACCTGCCTGCACTGCCTCTTTCCCTGCTGAAAGGGGACAGTTACGCCGATATTGGTGGAGAAGGATTTTGCAGGGTCTTGGAATTCCACCGGCACCAGCTCTGGTTCCGGCAGGCTGCACCCCCGGGAGCCGCTCCCCAGGGACTTGTCTGCTATGTCCGCACCCGTGCACCGAGATTTAGGTCCCAGGGTGCTCTTAGCCTCGTTATTCATGACACCACCACCACCACAATGCCAAAAACAATTCAAATGCTCCTTAATAAGTGAACTGGCTAAGTAAGCGATAACATATGCACACAGCGAGAGAAGAAGCCATGAAGCGATGCAGTCCCAGCCCGTGTCCCGCCGTGGAGAGAAGCATGAGAACTGTTGCTGAGTGGCCCAGGTGCGGGACCACGCATGTAAGGCACACAGAGCGCGTGCACGCAGGTGTGTCCCTGTCACGTCCACGTTCACGCACAGATCATTTCTGGCAGGGTGCACAGGACGCTCTCAACTGCCGTTACCCCCGGGAACAGGACAAAGGGACTTCGTTGCTTGAGTTTTTCAAATGGCACTATTAGTTTCATGGTGAAAAGTGTGGAAATTCTACCTGTATGGGAAAACACGGGCTCCGGTTCTCACAGGTCAGCTGGCAATCGGCTCCTCCCCCGAACGGAGCTTTACTGGTGCTCTGCGGCGTGAAGGCTATGTCATGGTCAATGTATTGTCCCCACACCATCAGCAGGTCAGAATATTGGTCATCGTCTGTGACAGCCTCGTTGGGAACTTGAATGACTTGTCTGGTCACCTCCCGGACCTGGGTGAAAAAAAGTTATCAGCAGATTGGGTTTGAGTTTAGGGAAGAATTTGCCCCTGGAGTAGAGAGGTAATGGGCATCTTCGCACAAAGTGAGTGAATTGGTTAATGAGTGTGTCTGGACACGCCTCGTCTCCTTCCTACGAGGGAAGGGCTTCCTGGAATACACTGGAGTGACTGTCAGGAGGAGAGAGACTGACAGTCTCCATCACCCACTCACCAGCTCGAGGCGCTGGCCTTGCGAGCTCCAGTTCCTAAGATACAAAGTGAGCTGCGATGCCGCACCTCACAGGGGGCGAGGGTCTCAGGAAAACACGGCGCCCGCCCAGAGCCCGGGACACTGACCTAGAGCCCAGCTAAGCTCTGCTTCCTCCAGGACGGCGGGGCCTAACCCCACGAGTGTCCACACAGCATTCTGAGGTACCCACCGGGGGCAGGGGGAACCCATTGTACAAGAAGTGGGGGTTCCAGCCTCTGGGCTCGCTGACGCCATCTTCATAGGCAGGAGGCAGCCACCTGGCCAGGGCCGTGTTGGAGGCGCCCCACCTGGGGTGGTCTCTGCGGGAACAAGCATGCACTTGTGTGAGACGGGGGAGCGGGCAGGGAGCAGAAGTCCACGGACGGGGAGCCGTTCTCCAGGACAGCAGGCGGAGCTGGCTTCCCGAGGCCCTTGGCGTGAAGACGTCTCCAGCTCACACGCAGCAGGCCTCCCGGGGGGTGTGGACGTGGACGTCTCCAAGGAGGTAGGCCTGGGGACCCCCGTTCCGGATGCACCCTTCCCTCGGCCTGCAAGCACCCCTGTGTTTGAGGGGTCCCTCCTGTGGGTGTGCCGCTGGCACCTGCCCTTCCCACAGCCCTTCGCCTCCTCTGCTACCCTGTTGGGTGTGGTGGGGTCCTCCCTGGGGCACAGAGCTGTGGGGCTCCCGGCGACAGGCAGCGGGCACACTGCTGTGTGGGACGGCCTTTAATCAGGGTGACAGACAACACTCTCTCCCGTCGTGGAGATGGGGCTTCAGCACGAAGTTTCTGCTAACGGCAGGGCTCTCTGGAACTCGCTGGAAGGTTCTAGATTCTGAAGTGAACTAGTTGTCAAGGGAGCCTGTATTACTACATTTATTTGAATTAAAAATAAGTCAGGCCTTTCCTGGGGGCTTTGTCTGAGCTGTGAGAATGGGCTCAGCCGTTGGGGTGAATGGCAGTGTTGCCACCACAGCCTGGGCTGCGGCTTCGTTCCATTGGTCAAAGCATATTTTCACAAAAGTATAAAAAGCATGATGATGCAAAGTTGTGCTTAGTTTTACTGCGATCGAACCAGCGACTTCTGAGCACATTGTGCTAAAGAGGGCGCCTCTTAGTAACTGCACAGGTGTGACTGAGTGATGTGACTGACATGTCCTAGGACACTTTCCCGAAACTAAGAAAATAAAAGAGTCATGATTGGTAGTGAATTCCTGTGAAAATCAGGTGCTTTCTAATTTTTGCTAAAAAAAAAAGAATTAAAGGACAACCCGATTGAGTCATTTGCTGACAGATCAATAAAAGTAATTTTAGTGATAGCCTCTTTGTGTGTTCATTTCCTGATAAATCCCAGATGGGCTTTCGAGGACCAGGCCCATGGCTGCAACAGAGTGCGATGCCCTGTCCGCAGGGCACCCGAGTGAGCGCACCTGGTGTAAACAGGCTTGGAGCTGCCCTCGCCTCCGCCTCATTTTCTAGGGCGAGGGTGACACGTAACCCATGAGCCAGATGAAGAACATCTGAGAGTGAAACGGAAACTGCAAATAATGGATCACTTTGGGGGTAACACGTAGCAACAGGGGCCATCTTAGGTAGCCAGGCTCACGGTCACATGGTCAACAAGTGATTCCACCCAGCTGACCCATGAGCTACTGGAATGTTCTCTCCATCTTGTCATTAGGTTAATTCCAACAAAAATTTACTTCCCTGCTTAATTACTTATTGATATTGGCAACATATTTGTGCAGATTTGATCGATTGTGTCTTCAAAACAATTGTGAAAAAAAGTCTCAACCTCGAAGAAAATAATGACTGTTTAACACTTATGCGCTCTGGAAATTGTCTAAATATAAAATTTCAACTTATGAAATATAATATAAATATGCAAAATAAATACCTGGACATTTAAACATAACTACATGATATATTATATAAATGCATAAAAAATAAATGAATATGTAATGTTTATGTAAGAATGAAATCAGATTTTATAAATTTACAGAGCCTACATGAAGTAATGAAATATGTAAAAGGAGAAAATAAAAGACTTTCAATCATAAAATAGCCCACATTTGGAAACAAAATGATAGATGAGTTAGAATGGAAATATCAGTTGAAAGAACACCAAGAAAGGGGATTTTCTGTTAGAGAAAAATATGCTGTTTTTTGAAAATGGGTTATTTGGGTACAAAACTGCCATGGCAGCCACGTTCCCTTGACCTTTATCTCTGAATCCACGAGGGGAGGCCAGCAGATGGGCATCTGCGGGGCGGGACACGGTCTCTGCAGACAGAAGGGACGGGCCTCAGGTCGGAGGTTTGCAGTAGGCAAGTGGTGTCGGGCTCTGTGAGGTCACATGGCAAACTAATGAGAATGGGAAAAGGTGAGGATCTAGGCTTTTAAAGTTCCTTCAAGCATCTCATGGGCAGACACTTAGAAGACCACGGGAGTGACGTCTACAAGAGCTATGACAGGCCAAACGATTTTTCAAAACTCCTGGAGTGTTTGGAAATACAAGTATTTAAAAATTAGATTGTTTGTTTTGGTACCAAATTATTATTGTTTTTTTTAAATAACTTAGAAAATTTTCAATTACAGTTGAAATATGATATCATTAGTTTTAGGCGTACCACGTAGCAATGAGACATTTGCAGACCTTGCGAAATGACCCCCGATTTGTTGCATGCCAGGTGACCGCATCCGCAGGTGTCACCGTGCTGCTGGCTGAAGTGTTATTGCCACCGTGGACATGGCGTGTGTCAGCCACTCTCACTTCAGATTGACTCGGCTGGTCAGCGCAAGAACGGAAGGGGCCCTGTGCTCCGAGGACCGTTTGCCGCCTGGGCGACCAGGTCAGGGTGCTTGAGGCAAGTGCAGCACGGCCTGGCCTCGGCCGGGCTGGGCCGACACCGAGTGGATGCACGGCCCACCTGCACGCCTCCCTGTGACACACAGGGCTCCTGATACCAGGGAAGGGGTTTTATTGCTGCTGTCACTCACATCACTGCTCCTGTACCCAGGAGCCACTCAGGGATGACACAGCCACAGGCGGTGGGGGCTCCGAGTGCATGTCTGCGGGGACTGAGTCGGCTATTAACGCCTCACTCATCTCCAGCACCCAGAGGGGCTCATGGCAGCGAGATGGGACAGCGCTGCCTTAAATTAGCCGCATTCGTCAGCGTGGGGAGTCGGGGGGCCCTTTAATAAAGTTCCAGCGGCTCCCTGGAATGTAAGAGCAGCCTGGGAGTGCCCACATGCTTTTGTGGACATTCACTGGATGCGGCACTTGATTGTCGTAACCAGGGCCTCTGACGGCCCAGCAGGAACCCCGGCGAACGTGTGGTGGACACCCGTGGCTGCGCCCGGGGCCGTCTGGGGACTTGTGGCCCAATGCCTGGCGCTCCTCTGGCTCTGAGACGCGACTCGCTGTGACA